AAAAAAAAAAAAAAGTCCAAATATTCTATCACATACTAAAGACTGATTTAATAATATTTAGATAGAGAATAAGCATATCTCATACATATGATGAACTCGTATCTAATACAAATGATTTTCACTGACTAATTTTTGAAAAGATATGGGCATGTAGAGTTACCATGTCCTGCAGAATCTGAAAAAACTTTGAACACAGCTATTTTTAATATTTTTAGTTAATTTTTTAAAAAATTTTCCACATGATCTTTTTTTTAAAAAGGTACAAAACAAAATTAAACAATTTTACTTTTAAGTTCGAACTATGTTCATATTCTTTTTAAAAAAATAAAAAATTAAGATTGAGATAAACAAAAATTTGTTCATTGTGTAAAGTGAAATAAATCGTACCTTGTCTTATACCAGTTCATTGTGTCAAGTGAAAATAAATTGTATTTTGTCTTATACCAGTTCGTTGAGTCAAGTGAAAATAAATTGTACCTTGTCTTACACCCGTTTCAATGCGTAAGTCTTGACCTGGAACTGGGGTACTCAGATGGAGCAATGGACCGGCGCCTGGCAAAAATCCACTGTCAGGATCCTCTGCATAGATGCGAGCTTCAAAAGCATGACCCCGAATCTTAAGCTGTTCTTGCTTCATTGGAATTGTCTCACCTGCTGCAACCTATGTGTACAATTTTATTATTTTAATTCAAGGATGAATGAACACACCGCAGTATAGTGAATGGCATGACTGATAAATCTCTGCGCTTTCCACATTGATTCACATGATAGGCCACTAATGCTGTTTATATAAAGATACCTTATATACCAAAAAAAAGGAGCCTATAAATATTCTTTCAAGCACCACTTATTGTTTCAAGCTAATTTATTACAGAACATTGTCAAATTTAGATTAAATGAGTACCAGTATACCCATTACCAGTTTACAGTACAAAATTTATAATAATAGTATGACAGCTTATTGAGCTATTTGAACAAAAAATTTCAATGTTTTTAAAAGATGTTGAGTGCAATGACAGCTGGACATCTCTAGCCGTGACACAGCAACAAAATAAAAAAATTTCATTACAAAATCACTTTAATGATCATTGATTTGATTCAACTTTCCTTACTTCGTCTTCTCAAAGAACTGAGTTTTGGAGAAAGTGCAATAATTTATTGATGCTTATCCGTCAGAGGAGTTAGTTGTTTCAACTGAGTGTTTGTTTCTAATTATCATTTATCACAAGTCAGGGCAGGAAATCACATCAAAGGCTGACCGCGAGAAAAGAAATGATATGTAAAAAAATATTTTTTAAAAAGTTGAATTGATCTTATATCAGTGTCCTTTGCAGTCTAAACATGGGACAATTTTATTAACTTGAAACTGACCCTGAGCTGCCACTCCACAAGATCTGTGCCTGTAATCATCTCAGTGATCGGGTGCTCCACTTGAAGTCTTGTATTCATTTCCATAAAGTAAAACTTCAAGTTTTTGTCCATAATAAACTCCACTGTGCCTGCAATAGTGAAGTAATTCAAACAATTTTAGGTCCATGGCAAATACATGTGTGAGAAGAAAAACAAGCTAATAAATTATATTGTTGTCAGGAAAAATATCAGGTATTTAATGTTTTGATCAGCTTTATAGCGTTTAGATCAGGTTTATAATGTTTAGATCAGGTATATGTTTGAAGTCTTTGCTAAGAATCATAATTAGACAGTATCTTGGCCACCACAGATTGTCAATAGTCTAGTAAATAGTTAAAGTAATTTTTTTTTAAATTTAGCTATGATTTGTTTAGGTTGACTAAATTTAGTCACTTTCAAGACCCTCATTGACCACTAGTGCAAGTGGGTTGTACCTGCACCAACATAATTGACTGCTTTAGCTGCCCTGACAGCAGCGTCACCAATGCTCCTCCTTACTTCCTCTGTCAGCCCTGGCTGAAACAAGAGGAATACAGAATTATTCAATCAATGAGGGCATTGAAGGTGTTTTTTTTGTATGAATATAAAGGTGAAATATTTGCCATTTCTCAATAAAAGTGTGAAACAATTGTCACCTCTTAATCTTTGTAACTTATTTCAATATAGAAGAGGGAATAGCCTATCAATTGAATAACACACTATGAATAATTTCTCATCAGTGTGTTTGGACTACTACATGATAATGTTTTTCAATATTTGCTGAGAGGTTGTATACCGGCATAAAAATTATGCATGAGCATTTCATAAACTCTTCGGTCTTATAGGATTACACTTGACATGTTTACCATTAGTTATTCCCATAACCATATGTCAAATTTTTCTTTATATTTCATCAAGACAACAAAGTGAGATGGACTGTGTCAAAGCTTTGAATAAAAGTTGGAAATGATCCACAGTTTCACATGAAATTAATAAAGATCAAGCCAATCCCATACAAATGAAATCTCAACCACCTGTGAGACAGTGATGTTACATAATCAAACAATTTTTCTAAGAAAAAGCAATATGATCTTGAAAAATGTACAAGAGACTTACTGCTGGTGCTTCTTCAATTATTTTTTGATGTCTTCTCTGAACACTGCAGTCTCTCTCAAACAGATACACATAGTTGCCATGACGATCACCAAACACTTGTACTTCCACATGACTACAAATCATCAAAATAATGACAAAAATAAGAAGAAAATTCTCGTCACTGTAAATCTGTGTATTAATTATTAATTAATTAAATTGGCCGAACAGCATTTACTGAAGAAGAAATAAAGCATGGCATTTAGAAAATTAATAGAGAAAAACTAGTATAATCTTCAAATAACCATTTATCAGATGAATGTTTGATATTTAAATCAAAACTGTTTGAAGGATTATGCCTGACCTTTAATGTTGTCTCAATTTATTGAATATAAAAATTAAATTTAAAAAAAAAAGGCAACTTGCCGTGGATTTTCCACAAACTTTTCTAAGAGCATAACTTGATCACCAAAAGATTTTATGGCTTCAGTTTTAGCAGACTCGAGCTGACTCTCAAACTCGGATTCATTCAAGGCTATTCTCATACCCTGGAAAAAATCAGATGAACATGATCATAAGTGAGCTTGTGTTGATGATATGTTACAACATTGCAGAGGAATTCACTTTCAAATAAATATTTCCAAACTTTTATCCAATGTACTTAAAGCTTTCATTTCCCCATATCCGATGACCAATACGGAGGAAATATTTTTTCGGCCTTACCTTTCCACCTCCTCCTCTCACTGCCTTAATCATGACTGGATAGCCAATCTTGAAGGCTTCCTGTTTCAGTTTGTCTGTTGACTGATCCTCTCCATGGTAACCTTGGATTATAGGTACTCCAGCAGCAGACATGATGTGCTTAGAAGTACTAATAAAATAACATGTATTTCAATTATAAGATATCTAGCTAAAAAATAAAATCACCACTAGATTAAAGAATGTTTTGTATGCTATTTTATTAATATCAGTAGTGATCCTGTGAAGAGTACTTTGCATTTATTACACTTAAGAAACAAAACATGCTGATTTCTCTCATCAAAGTACTTTTAGTTTAAGATGAGCAGAATCATTAAATAATGATTTCGCAAATGTTAAAGAACAATGGGTGTCAATTTATTTAGCTTAAGAACCATTAAGTCATTAAAAATTTAAAGATCTGAATAAATAATACTTTTTTTGTAACAAAGAAAATATCTTTTTTGTATATATATATATACCATGATGTACAAGATAATTAATGGGCTGGTCCACTGTTCCAGTATTAAACAGAAACTCGTCCCTCTCCCCCATAGACAGCGACGAGGCCATGACAGGCATGATTTCCTCATCAACACCAGTAACAGAAACATTGCAAATCCCATCTACATGCATAGGAGCCAAAATGATCAATAAATTGATCGTGGGCCCTTTAGATATAGAAGAAGATACCAAAGGAATGTTGGTTTTTCGTTTAAAAAATTTGATTCAAGAGTGAGTTTAGTAAATTTTATAAATCATCCTTAAGAGTGAATCTAATCTGCAGCCAAAATACACTTTTAAATTAATTAACCCTATAAGAGTGTATTTTGTTTCATTCTTTTTATTAATTCTCTAACCTTTTGATTCCCATGTCACGAATAGCTGAGGCAGGTGGGCCAATGAAAACAATATTCTCTCTTTCACAGGTCTGAGCAAACTCTACATTTTCAGACAAGAAACCATAACCTGGGTGAATAGCCTGGGGAAAGTCAAATAACCTGGGTGAATAGCCAGGGGAAATTCAAATAACCCGAGTGAATAGCCTGGGGAAAGTCAAATACATTATTCTATAACAGAGTGTATATGATGTTTTATTTAAATTATAAATAGTTGAATCACGAAATGATTATTCACACATCTATATTGAAGCACTTAAACATTAATTGTAGCCCCAAAAGCATAAGATTAAAGAAATTGAAATTAATATCACCATTACAGTTTTTGTAGCAACATCTTAAGAGTTTATACAAATTCAGTAATGACCTGTGCCCCTGATAACCTGGCAACATTAAGGATTTTGTCTTGTCGAAGGTAGCTTTCTGAGGCCGCAGCTGGTCCTATGTGAAATGCTTCATCTGCCTAACAGATATATGGAGACAATCAGTCTTTAAGAATTTTATATTTCAACAGCGAGTCAAAGGGAAAGTTAAAGCTTTTAAATTTCACTTTAGGTCTTAAATTGTCATTTTAGTGAGGAAAAAAAAAAGCGTGGTAAATTAAAATCTCATTTTATTTTACAAAAATCATATAAGGCCTAATTCCATTATAAAAGATATTAAATTGTATCCATAGCCCACTCTTATATGTAGTGTAGCTAAAGAAATGTGAAAGCTTACCATAGCAACATGCATTGAATTTCGATCAGCTTCACTGTAAACAGCCACACTGCGTATGCCAAGCCTTTTGGCTGTTCTCATTACCCTGCATGCGATCTCTCCTCGGTTGGCGATCAGAATTTTGTCTAAAGACTTCACAGCAGCTAAAAAAATACATATACATTATCCTTCCTTTCATTATATCTTGATGAATGTTGTTTAAAAAAACAAAGGAACCTCAAATTATAACTAATTATATTAAAAGCGTTTTACAGTACGGTTTGCATATTATTTATTTAAGGATCATTAAAATGGGTTGAACTTTTGTAAACCTATTATTTTAATTTTTAGTAGCTTTTATTTTTGAGAAGCTTACTCTACAAGGATTGTACACACATACTAGTTGATGTTAACTATAAAACATGGACATTCCTGCCTCATACTTAAACTTCAAACAACATTATGAAAATAAAGTTTAATTTAAAGAAAAACCTTTACTTTAACACATCATTATTTATTTAATTCAACAATTCCTAAAGTAAATTTGCACTGAGTTTTTTTTTAAAAACCTCTAACTATTAATTATCTCAAGGCTGAACCAAGAGCTTATAAAAATAATTTCTTACCAGACTGGGAGGCCCATCTTGGTGAGGAGTAAAAATTTAGTCTGTAATAGACAGAATATTAACAGTTACAAAAACTGATTTCAAGATCCAGTCAAAAGTGACCAGTTGAACCTATTAGTAAAGTTGAAACTGAATCAGCTTCTTTCCCATAAATTCTGCCTGATTCCCATGTTACTTATACATTCACTGTCTAATTTCAGTGTTACATTTACATTCACTGGCTAATTTCAATGTTACTTATACATTTACAGTCTTATTTCCATGTCATTTAAACATTTACTGGCTAATTTCCATGTTACCGTTTACCAACAGTATTTTCACATGGTATATTTCTTTTTATTTATTGCAACAATGATCAAAGATACAGGTAGCCTAGTGGGAGGAACGGCTGGTGCAGTAAGGCTTGAAATAACTGAAATGATCCATATAAATTCATATAGGCTCTTGTGAAAACACAAGGATCCACTCATTCTCAATGTCAACTGAGCTCAAAGGATAATAAATGAAGGACTGCTTTCAAGCTGTGTGAAGGAGATAGCAGAACAAGGTATGCGGAAGCTTGAAATTTAAAGACAGGACAATAAAAGAAGAACGTTTCAGCTAAGAACCTTCCTCAGCAGACAGGACAAATAAAGAAACAATAGGAAATAGAAATATTTGTTCCACTAATTTCTAATCTTAGATCAGAATGCTATAAAATATGTTTCTTCTGGTAAATTTCCACAAATATTGAAAGTTAAAAATGAGCACACCTATTGACAACTGATATTCAGCTTCTATAATGAAGTTGGCTTCTCTGCTATTTCTACCATCAGGCAGAACAATGGTTACAGCTTAATTCATAAAACTCTTTGACTGATGAATACATAGGTTGAGTAAATATAATCATGACATTCATTAATTAATGAGGTGTGCATAGGCTTATCAGGCTTGTAAATATTTAATGTAAATAATAATAATTATACTTTTGTTGATAATTTAAAAATTAAATTTTAATACTAAAAATAAGGAAATAAAATATTTTCAAAAATTAATAAAAATATAAATTTTTAAAATTGTATCTAGATTTAATTTGAATCCTTTGGCTACATATTATAGAGTGCTCATCTACACCTCTGCAGTCTTTCTTTGTGTAATGCATTTTAAGAAATTGTTAATTTTTAAAAAAATGTTTAATGCGTTATAATTCGTCTTTGATAGAATGTCTTTTTATAATCGTTTTTCATTACCCATTTTCATCATTTTTCTAATTTTCATTTGTAGCTTAAAAGCATTCTCTCCCTTTCCCGTCTCCATTTTAGCCCATGCCCACATGTTTTGGCACTAATTTTTATGACACTGCCGCCATCTTTACCGTCATTAAATTATCATAAAAACGACAGTTATATTGCTCGAGGCGTGATATTGGGTCACAGAATGTGGAGAAGTTGTCCTTGTTAAAAAAAGGACAAACAAAGTCCTACTTAATTACAAAATTCATAGCTTAGAAACCACTAAAAATAGAAAGTTGATTTTGATTTCATTTTTTCTTTTAAATTTTAAGTTTGCACTATTTTTCTACAATGCCCACATTATTCATTACATAGAAAAATGTGCTGCCCAGGGCAGTCTGTCTTCCCCTTCTACGCCATTGAGTAAGCCTAATAATAATAACTAGTCTAGCTAGTAAACTGGTGCAGATGATGTAGTACTAGTTAAAAGATAAAGTTAGCATAACCAAGGGGACAGATAGTTACTTTAAAAAACTAATCTGTTTTACGGTGGATTTAAAAAAAAATAAAATCCGAGTTCTAGACTAATAATCAAGATTAACATTAACTTTAACCTTTTCAAATCCTTCAGCAATGCTGAAAATTGGTGCGATCTTAAAGACAAAGTTGACATCTTGGTTGTTAGGAGTACTGCCCCTTTTATTTAAGAAGATGGGTGTTATATTTAATTTGAATGTTGTGCACAGTGTTGTTACTTATACNAATATTTTCAAAAATTAATAAAAATATAAATTTTTAAAATTGTATCTAGATTTAATTTGAATCCTTTGGCTACATATTATAGAGTGCTCATCTACACCTCTGCAGTCTTTCTTTGTGTAATGCATTTTAAGAAATTGTTAATTTTTTAAAAAATGTTTAATGCGTTATAATTCGTCTTTGATAGAATGTCTTTTTATAATCGTTTTTCATTACCCATTTTCATCATTTTTCTAATTTTCATTTGTAGCTAAAAAGCATTCTCTCCCTTTCCCGTCTCCATTTTAGCCCATGCCCACATGTTTTGGCACTAATTTTTATGACACTGCCGCCATCTTTGCCGTCATTAAATTATCATAAAAACGACAGTTATATTGCTCGAGGCGTGATATTGGGTCACAGAATGTGGAGAAGTTGTCCTTGTTAAAAAAAGGACAAACAAAGTCCTACTTAATTACAAAATTCATAGCTTAGAAACCACTAAAAATAGAAAGTTGATTTTGATTTCATTTTTTCTTTTAAATTTTAAGTTTGCACTATTTTTCTACAATGCCCACATTATTCATTACATAGAAAAATGTGCTGCCCAGGGCAGTCTGTCTTCCCCTTCTACGCCATTGAGTAAGCCTAATAATAATAACTAGTCTAGCTAGTAAACTGGTGCAGATGATGTAGTACTAGTTAAAAGATAAAGTTAGCATAACCAAGGGGACAGATAGTTACTTTAAAAAACTAATCTGTTTTACGGTGGATTTAAAAAAAAATAAAATCCGAGTTCTAGACTAATAATCAAGATTAACATTAACTTTAACCTTTTCAAATCCTTCAGCAATGCTGAAAATTGGTGCGATCTTAAAGACAAAGTTGACATCTTGGTTGTTAGGAGTACTGCCCCTTTTATTTAAGAAGATGGGTGTTATATTTAATTTGAATGTTGTGCACAGTGTTGTTACTTATACGTCTTTGTTATTCACAGATAATTTAGTTGAGTAGTAGTAGTAATAATAGTAGTAGTAGTAGTAGTAGGGTGGGCGTTAAGCATTTTTCTTCACTTGTATCAGCTCTATGCTTATATTAAAATATAATTTATTTTTTTTAATGTTTATGTTTGAGCATACACCTTACTGATTGTTTCTTACTTTAAAATGTAGCCTTTTAATATTAAATTATTTTATCAGATTTATTTAGGTTATTTAATTAATCAAATTGAAGGATTTAGGTTTATTTTTGTTTCTAGTTTAGTAGCTAAACATAAAATCTCTTGCATTGTGAATCATAAATTTTAAAAAGGAATTCCTTTTAATTAATGTCAGTATTAATTCTTTAAAAAATTAAATATTTAAAGGGATCATAGTTTCTAAAAATTATTCCTTAATTGTATATTTACAAATAATTATTGTTTATGTAATGAGTTGACATAAAATACAATCCAAAGCAACAATAAAATAGTAAGTCACACACAATTACAAGAGAGCACAAATATTTATTTAAAACCGGAATGGAAAACCATGTGATTAGAAAATGTTTCAAACATGTTATTCAAACTTATAAAAACATTTGTATCATTCATCAAGTTAGATACATATATTACATCTAGTAGGGGAAAAGTATAATCAAAACTAATTACCTAACTATGTTGATGTGAAAGCATTGTGTTAGTATTTAAACCATAGAATCCCTAATATTACCATAATTTATCACTGTACTTTTGAAAGAGTAAGAGCAGAATTTTATGCATGTTTCAGCTGAAATAGACTTATGGGAATGTTTCAATTCAAAAACAAAAAGAAATGTATTTTCAAAAGAAAACAATTGAAAAAC